CGAGCAACACGACCACAACCAATCACATGAATCTCCCGCCCCCGACATACAAAGCAAAAAAAACGGGGATTTTATGCGAGCAATATATATATATAAACTCCCCAAACAGGCGAAAACCTACCAGTTTCACCCACTGTCTCTGGCACCTCCCTCCAGCCTGGCTCCTCCGGTTTGTATCCCGGTAAATAGTCTGGTCGTAAAGAACCGGGTGATTTGCTACCGTCATTTCTCGTTTGGAATATGAGGAAATGAACTGTGGTCTGGCTCTCCCTGCTTGCACGCGGTTGAACTGTCAGATTTGCATAAACACGGATCTGATTGGCTATCGCTTCCAGCTCAGCCTCAAAAGTTGAACATTGTTCAACTTTGGAATCCTGAACATCCTGGAAATCCTGGAAATCTTCGCCTCGCCCCCCCAATGCAGTTCGGCGACAAGCGAGGGAAAGTGACGTCATCCCCATTCAAAGTCAATGGGCGGAGACCGCGCTGGAAGCGGTGGACAAATCGCCAAAAGCTGCTGTAGTGAACGGGCCTTATGAAGCTTGAAGCTTTCCAGCAATTGGTTCACAAAAGGTTCATCTCATGATGCTGCTCAATGGGCTTCATTTGAACACAAACCCCATGTTGGTCAAAAGTGTGTAAAAACAGGTAGATTGGACATCTCAACAGTGTGCTCTATCTCATACCGAGTTCCCAATGAGTAAAGCCTTAGAATAACTCTAAACAACGAACATGAAATCATATCTTCATGTTAACAATATTGTTTTTATTCCAGTTGAATGATTGTGATTGAAAAGCCTAAGGAGGGCTGGTAAACATTGCAAAGAGGGATTTGCATTCCTTCATAAACGTAACCATGTTGTAGCCTGAGAAAGGCTAAACCATATCAAAGAATACATTTATTAACTACATTGTCTCATTTAGCTGTAGCTTTTATAAACAACAAAAAATACGTATTGTTCAGTCGTTGAACCAGAGACCCTGCGTTCGTGAGTCAACTGCTTTCCAGCTGAGCCACAGCACACACACTACAGCTCTCTGAAAACACTGGAACATATTTATTCCTGTATTTATTTCTGTATTTATTCATGTTTTTATTCCTACATTTATTTATGCTTGTATCTATTTATACGTTATGGACATGTTCCGACCTCTATATAAGTGAGGGTCTGAGCTCTCTTGATTCCATCGTGTCACCGGGCCCGGGTACAGGAGGGGTAATATGGTTCTTATTATACATCCATGGGTAATATGAGCGTTGTGGTTCAACGGTTCAACCGATCTGAATCGCTTCGTGAAGCAGTCCACGTGGTATCGACAGGCAGCGAGGCTTCGTTTGGTCATCGATGACGTCACTGGCACAAAACGATACAAGCCTCGATACATGCTTTCACAAAAATCTTCGGGGATTACTCGACACACGCTCCGAAGCCTCGGCGCAATACGTAACATCACTAGCGAAAATACACAGGTGAGGGAGTGAGGCGATCAGCCAGGGCCAGGATGTGACACATAATGCCAGTGTGCCGTCTTTTGACTTTTTTGTATCTGTCTTCTATCCTCTCAGATCACCAATAAAACACAGGCAGAGATTTAATGTCAAAGTGAGGACAGAGAACATGAAGCTCAAGAGAAGAGAAGACGGTTGTATTGCAGGAGTGGTTTCAGAGGCTTCTGTGAATGTGTTGAGAAATGATTATGCTGGGACTGAGTCATCACTGGAATCCATTGTACCTGCTGTGAAGGCAAGCTGAAAAGCTGCCATTGAAGCTGCAAACTTTCAAAGCCACTCTTAAATCATACAGGCGAGAGAGATATATTCAGTGGAGTGCAGTGATGCTAATAGGTTCTCAATGTAGTGAGTCCTTGAGACCCACAGGTGAGCATTTTAGTGAAATTAAGGTTATGTTGAGGTTGGATCTAATATAATTCATTTGTTGAAGAAGTATCTGAAAATGTAAAACATGAAATCCCAAATATGATAAGTGTATTTTCAAAACATTTAACTAATGTCAAAAACCTCTCCGGCATGGCTAACTAAGACAGTTTTCAAATGAGGTCATTTGAAAAGAGGTAGGACGCAATCTAATAAGATCAGCTGTTGGCGGTAACTGCAGAAAAATAAATAAGCAGTAAAGTTCACTCAAAAAAACGATTCAAGCCCTTCTTAGACTTGACACATTAATAATTGTTTCACTTTACTTAAATATTTTTATTTAAGAAATAAACCTAAGTATAGTTCATTAGTGTAACACAAATTACATTAATCAATTCACTTATTAAATGTATTTAAGACAGAGCAACTCAAAATGAATTGTTTTCATTTGGGACCGCCCCTTTGCACATCACCTTTGCGCATGCACAAGATCCGTTCTGTCATTTGCCGCCTTTTGTCTAACACTGACGGTGTGAAACTGACGGTGGAAAGTCTATTATTTGGTAAGTATTTGTTTTTTCTAGTAGTTTAGAATGTTCCCTGTTTCCAAGTAGGCCTAATGCCTTTTCATTATATCGACAAGAATATTTGAAACCACCGTGTTATATTTTGCTCCGTTTTTAGTTGGGTCTAAACAGCAAGCTAGCTAGCTTGCTAGATATGGTTAGCATTGAATACTGGATAGTAGAGATCATTAGATTATATTAAATTAGATGTCACGTTATTGTCATTGAACACAGTACACCGAAATTCAGTTTAAATTCAACCAAAAAATGCAAAGAGTAATTCAAGTGCACGAGGTAAAGCTAGCTAGCTGGATAACTGGTTTGTTAGCTAGCTTGCTAGATACGGTTAGCATTGAATACTGGATAATGGAGATCATTAGATTATATTACATTCGATTTAACGTTATTGTCATTGAACACAGTACAACCGAAATTCAGTTTAAATTCAACAAAAAATGCAAAGAGTAATTCAAGTGCACGAGGTAAAGCTAGCTAGCTGGATAACTGGTTTGTTAGCTAGCTTGCTAGATACGGTTAGCATTGAATACTGGATAATGGAGATCATTAGATTATATTACATTCGATTTAACGTTATTGTCATTGAACACAGTACACCGAAATTCAGTTTAAATTCAACCAAAAAATGCAAAGAGTAAGCGCCGCCATTTTCTATCATAAAGCTCAGCAGGTCTGTCCATCTCTCTCCTGGCCTTAGTGCAGGCAGAGGAGGACAGGCGGAGCCACTCGTTTCTGTAGGAGTTCAGTTGAGTTTAGTTTTTTACTGCCAAATATTTAATATAATAATGAGATATATATATATGTGAATCTTGTATGGGTTACCTCACTCACAAGCAGGCACCCAGAGTTGTGCAGAAACGTAGGCCTGCTTTATAAAACATGTCTACTAGACTCTTAATTTTAAAGTGTGATCTGTTATCATTTTTTTTTTGGGTTGTGCAATCTTAGGCAATTATGTGTTGTCTGTGAAAATTCAAATATATAAGCATTTTAATCACACCTCTAATATATTTATGTTGTCTTTTGCAGTTTGATCAGCATTAACAAGCATCTTGGGGCAACCTCTTATTTATGGTAAGTACACGGCTACTTTCACATTACTTGCATAAGCTGATCTGTGACATTGTCAGTTGTTCAGTGTCAATTGCTAATTCTCTTTTTTTCTCTTTTTCAGGTTATGCATGTGGCAGTGCAAACACTGCAGTTTGGAACTAGCTAGCAGGTATTTGTTGTTAAAACATTTCCGGCAGACACATGCACATTTAAGGGGCAGTTGTCGCTATCCATGTCCATATACTGATTGCCCATGTTCGTTTGACACATGGAGTAAACTTTTAAATCACACATACAAAACTCATGCTAAACAGCTAACACCAAAGCCAGTAGAATTAACAAGTAACAATTGGTTGTATTGTGCTTGTTAATAATATTTTTAAGGTGAATGCGGAGTTTTTGAGGATCACAACATCACCACTTCAATCAAAGTTCATGTGGCAGCTGGACCACTTCTCAGACAAGCTCTTGAAGATCTTCAAGACCAAAGGAGGAGTGAAGGGGCACAAAATCAAGGAAGCCCTTGCAATATCAGATTCGGTTAGTATAAATGCAGAGAACCTCGTTTTTCACTGTATTGTTTTTGTCCATGATCATATGAACACATTTAAGAAATTGTCTGCTTTTATAGTGTTTTTAAGGCAATAGCTTATTGTGGAAATGTAGGTGTAAGGAGTCCTGCTTAGGGACACACACGACAGATACAGCCCTCTACGTTGTAAACTACCTGCTCTGTTGCACATGCATTGTGCTTAATTGTCTTTGATTTATCGCCCCTGCTTTAGTTTGAAAACATCCACATCAAGAGGGGGGTACATCCTGCGAAGCATCGCGATCTACCTCAACGAGGATCCAGACTCTTTTTTAAGGAGTATCAGGTATGTTTATCACAATATGTTTTCAATGTATTGGTTAACAGTGTTACCCACAATTATAACCACCATTACTTACATTTATAATAAGAAAATTATATGGCACACAACCCTATCCCTGCTTACATCTAAATATCTTATCACATATCATAAATACATGCAGAAATAAATAAATCTATACATTAATATAGGAATGAATATATGTAAGAATGAATAAATACAGAAATAAAAAAATAATAATAAATAGATACAGAAGTAATTTCATCGGGCAAGTGTTAAAATAAATATAGAAAAAAGTGAATTAATACATTTATACAGATATAAATACATCTATAAATTAACATAGGAATACAATTGATAAATACAAATGTGAATTAAAACATGAATATATCTGGAAATAAATACAAATAATAAATGAATGCTGAAATAAATATTTACATTTATATATAAATACATCTATAAATGAATAAATAAATATGGACATGAATACATATGTAAGAACTTATAAATAATTGAATAAATACATAAATAAAATAATAAATAAATGCTGAAATATATTAATCAATAGATTCATGTTTAAAAAGGTATGTGAATGCAGCAATTACTAAATTGTTAAAGGAATAATTACATAATCACATAAATCAAGGAAATAAATTATTAAAGAATAAATAATCAAATACATATCGAAATAAGTAGGTAAATGCATAATTAACTACAGGAATAACAACAAATTACATTATTAAGTAGGGACGTAAACAAATAATACCTGAATTAATAAATAAGATAACGTTGATAATCAAACAGAACATACAGGAATATATCTTTATAACTTATTTATGCAAACATTTTCTTTCAAGCTTAATTTAGTTCTGTGTTGGAGGTCCTAACCTTCTCTGGTATCACTCGGACATTTTTGTCCAAATTGGTAATTTTTCACATCAGATTTGGCTATAATGATTTTGTGTTTTTTCTAGATACTTTTTGGAATTTCAATTTTTCTAATCGGTCTCGAATACACTGTACAAATTACCCTAATTGTCCATTTAAAAAATGTTCCCACACTTCCCAAAAAGTGTGGGGGAAAAATATTTAAATATAATATTTGTATCATATCATTTTATCATTCAAGTTTTTGAAAGTGGACATTTTTATCCTGAGTGGCCAAATAGGGTAGTACATTTGAGTGATACCAGAGGGTTAGTCTAAAACTGTTTTGATCAATTAGGAGAGCCACATAAGTAAATCTGCTTCTATAAAATGTAGTAATTCAGGTTTTAGTTAACACATATGTTGTATGTTTGTGTCTTTGTTCAGGCCTCTGCCTCTGAAGATGCCAAGAGGGACATGGCAAACACAGTCATGGGCATATACACACTTCAAAGAGATGTGGATGGGCAGCCAGAGGACGTGGGAATTGTCATCGAAGGCAATATAGTCATGGACAACTTGGGCAGCGTGATTGTGGGGTTTGTCATGCTATTGGGACTTATTTATGCCCTGGATTTGAGCTTTCCGGACAACCTCAAACACACCTTCGAGTTCATGCAGAAGGTAGTGATGAATCTGGATGGGCACAAGCTGAATGGTAAAATCGAAAGTCTGAAGATCAAGTTGTTCGATTGAAATGTGAAAAAGAAGTGACTCATGAGTTCATTGTTGTCATTTTATTCACGAGTTTCCTAATCAGAGCAGATTGAGCCGTTATATCAATCATTTGTTCTGTGCTTTTCTGTATTTGTTTCAACACACTGTAACACTATTTCCATATGTTGGTGTTTGCAGTGCACTCTTTATGTTATGTGTTATTGTCCTGTTAGAAGAGCAGTGCATACCCCTGTTATATTGTATTCATTGTATTTGGCAAAGGGAGATTTGTAAGTTAATTATAGGAGTTTCCATTTCTCTGCCATTTTAAAATGGTATTATCTTTCAGAAATGTTTTTTCATCTTTCAGTGTGAATTCATTCATTTTAAAAAGACTGTATTGAATGGAGGATTGTTTTGAATAATGTGAATTTAAAAATAAAAAAAAATAAACCATGTTTTCTATCATGTGTAACACATTTTTATTAAATTATATTTAACCTCATTATTTCATTTTCAATTAATTAAATAGGATTTAGGTGGACTAGCATTATTTAAATTCATAAAGGTAATGTTATCATTTTACTTAAACTCTATTTGAAAAATTTGAGTTGGACTAACTCATTTACATTATACTGCATGGATGCCATTAGTTTGAGTTTGTGCCACATATATTTATTGGATGGAAAACCTGCCAACAATAAAATTGAGTTAATCCAATGAGTTATTTCTTTGAGTGTTGTCTGGTGTTATTAAATGTACAAACACACACCTCTGAATATAATCTGGAGCCTCCTATTATCAGGGAGTAAATAGGGTGCATCCGCTACACAAATCAATGGTGAGTTTACTGCATCCTTTGTTATTTTATTGTGTCAAGAGATGCAGGACGTGTACCTATCATCATCCCGGGGAGTTTATATTATAAAAATAGAAAAACAAGCCCTCGAAAATTGGAGAGCAAACAGGTTCATGATCAAAACCAAAAAGGTAGTTAGGAAATAAACAGAGCAGGAGCCACAGAGGAAATACAGTGCAACAAATTAGATAACAGAAGAAGAGCCGGACGAGATATTTCCAGATGATTCTAACCTTCACAGGAGCCAAACACTATGACAGGTGCGGGAGTTTAACCAGCAACCTTCAGATTAGCCCGCTCCGATGACTGATTGAGGAAGTTTAACCGACATGCTCTTCTCGCTTCATTCATCTCTCTTTAGCTGATGGAGCAGAGCTGTGACGCCGCCTGTTCGCCTGTCATACATCCTTCCTCTCCCTTTCACTGCCCTTCTCATATTTCCTGACGGATGTCTTCCCTCCACTATTTCATTGTCATTCCACCTGAGTGTATTTTCCTCCAGCGCCACAGTGTGAAAAACGTCAAAAAGTTAAAAGCGAGCCGGACAGGGGAAAGTGTAGCACTTTGCTCCACTAATATCGTGCTAATGGTGAGAACGCTTAAAACTGCAGTCAGCTGTAATCCATTAGAAACATTTCAGTGTGACGCTCTGGATTTAGATAGACAGGGTTGATCAGGCAATTTCATTCCAGCACACTACACTGTATATGCAGTCATCTTTTTGTTGCTGGAGGTTTCACATTTGTCAGGTGCTGGATAACTCATTTTGGAACGAAACTGATCGCATCAAGCTCTGACAGTTCTGTAGTCCTTCAAATTATTCTCTATGGGGAGCCTGTTTAATGAGGGACTTGATGCCCATCTCCCCCGCTTGCTTTGGCCAATCAGACTGAAAGATGGCCCATGCCTGCCTGTAAAAGGCCCAGTCGAAGGCACGTGTGCTGCAACAGCGTGTGATCCAACAAAACAGCCCGTTGACGGATGATCTCTTGGACATGTCACTGTGCTGACATCGCTCACTTCACTTGTCATTCTGGAGATTTGGATTTGTAACACTTCATCTTGTTCGCCTTCTGCCTCCTTCCTGCTCTCTTTTCTCCGAGAGCCTCAAAAACAAATAGTGTGGAAACAAGGTGTGGGAGCGCAGACAGTCATCGCCGTGAAAAGCAGTGTTTGTAATTCTTTCACACACAGTGACGTCACGAGCTACCCACAATGCAACGCGCGCCATATATATATATATATAAATACGCCATTTTCCTGGAGGTGCTAATATCCTGGAGGTGCTAATATAAACAGCTAGCTAACGTAGCCAGGCAGAGCGCACTAGGTTTTTTTTCTGAATTAACGACCGAAGAAATCGCTGCATGTCTTCGGATTACATCTCTGGACTTGAGGGGTGTGCTCTAGGTCGTTACCAGCGTAAACTAGAGCTGTGTGGGTTGTCCGATTGCCCTTACTGACTGCCTGCAGATGTATGGAAAAACGACTCTCGAAAGTGGCCTTCGGTCGATTTTGGCAGCATCTACGTCTATCTTCTGGAAACACCAGGTGAATACCCCACTTGTCACAATAATATTATCATGCCAATGCATATAGGTGGTATTTTAGAGTTGACTATATTGATTAAGGCAATAGACTATGATATTCTGGTTGCACCTCGTGTGAAATGGCGGATACCGGAAGTACGGTGTCGCCCTCGGCCCAAAACCCGTATGTGTGTGTGAAAGAATAGAGACAGATGGGAAACTAAACGAACAACAGGGAGGAGAGCGGGGGAGGGTGACAAAGGGTGATTCATACCTGCAGTGTAGAGGAGAGAGCAGGGAATGATGTAGTCACAATAACAGGAACATATATTTTCCTCATGCTGGGGAAATTGGCCTAACAGCTATTAAGAGAAGAGCCCACTCGGACCCCATGCTGCACTTCTCATTGGCCGGTTGGACAGGCTCATTTCTCCTCGCTCTCCACTAAGGGCTTCTGCCAAAAAACGTTCCAGATCCAGTCATCGCAAGACACAGGGGGGCAACCAGCACCTCGACTACATCTGCTGTGGAGAGAGTGTGAGTGCACGCTCATTCACACACTCCACAGATGTTAAAACTGACACTCATACACACCATCTCGGCAGACACAGATGCCTCCTGCCAGATCAGGGTCAGTCAGCTGTAACATCCCTGTGAATTAGCTCCAATGGGGGTGTGTGTGTGTGTGTGTGTGGTGTGTGTGTGTGTGTGTGTGTGTGTGTGTGTGTGTGTGTGTGTGTGTGTGTGTGTGTGTGTGCGTGTGTGTGTGTGTGTGTGTACTTGCAGGACCACATTTCAGCACACACACACACACACACACACACACACACACACACACGTTACTGTCAACTGCAAAAGGTAGTTGGTAGACTAAAGAAAAACAACACACTGCACGTTGCATCTGCATTTATGCTTGAAAACTTGTGTGTTATTGTTTGGAATAGTGTACTTTTTCATCATTTTCAGAGT